AAGGGCTGAAGCCAGTCACCCTCCCAGGTGGGCTCCACAGGCAGCCCCTGCCACTGCCACCAGTGGTCCCCAGCTGCTTGTCCTGACATGGTCCCAGGTGGCATGTGGCCTGAAGAACTAGGGCTGTGGTGCCAGAGTGGCTTTCCAGCCACTCTTATGCCACTGAGGCCACACACCCTCACAAGATAGTCCCTTGGAACAGAGGGATTCCCAAAACCAAACTCTTTTCAGCGGAAGTGTAAAAGGTGTAAAGCAAAACAGATGCTTTCTGGAGCATAAAACACCCTGAGCCACATCCTACGTGTTTCTATCTGCCAGGTTCTGCTTTCCAGTCCTTACATCAATATTTCTGCTGGCTCTCCCTGGGGTTGGGGTGAGTGTACACCCACTACTGCAAGGCAGAGTCATTTTCTGTGTGAAGGGCGTGACTGTGACCGCCTTCTGGGAAGAGCACAGCTTGGACCATGAGCCCTGGAGAGCCACATTACATGAGGGTTTTTTTTCTGCTTATCTACCTGTGAGCTAGATCTACCTGTTCCTGTTACTGCTTTGTGCTGAAGCTTAAGTGTTTGTTCAGCTAAGGAAAGTTGACTGAGCATATTTCAAAGGTGATTAATACTCCTTTTCTTTTTTTCCTGGCGCTGACAGCTGTTGATTTTAAGTTTCTTAGCACAAACATGAGAAATAACAGCTATGCATTTGTTTTTGCTGAAAAACAGAAGCCTTAGCCACCTTCTTCCTTAAGCAAAACCTACCTTCTTAACATGTGCAATAGTTCCCCCTGGTGCAGATGCTTAGTGTTTTGTTAAAAAGAGCAGAAAGAAAACCCCTGGCATCCTTCCAAGGGTTGACTTGGAAGACCTCATTTGACTCTTAGCTAATGGTCCCCAAAACTCCGAGGTGCAGACACTCTGGTGCAGGGAGGTGCCGGGTGAGCACATTTTGCAACAAGGCTGTGGATGCTGCAGAGACTGAGCTATCTCAGACTTCTGCTTCACAAGGGGAAAAACAATGTGGTCGGAAATACTACTAAGACAGAGTCACCACTTATCTCCGCGAGCAAAAATAAAGAGGACTCAAACTACGCAAGAATACCCCAGCTAGACTGTTTCCTTCTCCTTCTTCTGTGCAGCTAAAAATGAATGTCACCACCAAGCAAAGGAAGGATGTCACCACTTCTGCTACCCAGGAAGTAATTCCTACCGTTGTTCCTGTGCTGATGGCTATGAGCTTGGGAAGGACAAAAAACAGTGCATTGCATTAGGTAGGTGTGAAGACCTCTCTGTTTCGGAATTAGGTCCAATTGTTTCTGATCAGGCACCACATTTGGGGCCATATTAATTAATTTGGAGCAATAGCTCTTTATTTTTTCCATCTCATACTAGGTTTCTCATTCAGTCTCATCCCCGTATAAATTAGCTCTGCTAAAAACACAGCAGTGTATTTAGGTCCTTGTCTGTATTAGCAAGTAGAGCAGCTAAATAGAAGTCAAGCTGTAGAGCCCCACTTTTGGTGATGAAGGCTTGACATGCATAGTCAGTGCATACTTCATGTGGTCTTTACTTCAGATTAGCTCCAATTTTGGTCCTTTTGGACTAAGCACCCATTGTGTATGCTCCTGAAGGTGTCTTCTGGTTTAGCTTCACCTGAACAGAATCATTTGTGTGACCCGAGACAATGCCACAAGGTGAACACAGCGTGATAAATGCAGACAAGCAGGAGATCCACTTGAAAAGCTGTTTCAACCAGAACTGAAAGGGATGCACATCCCTAGAGTAATAGCTTCAACAAGGAAACCCCAGGATTTACTTTGTCCAAATTGAGCCACAGCTGCCAGGTATTTGGTGCAATTTGGGTAAAGGATACAAAGAAGAGGAAGCACGCTGTGCTGATGGATGGCTAGCTGATTTCAGGAAGACTGTTATCAGCCTTCCTGAAACTGCTAAGCTATTTAGTCTACAGAAGTGAAGCAAGTTACATCAGTTTTCATCAGCTGAGAAATTGTCCTATATTTCCTTGGTGCAAAAATGAAACCTCTAATTGGAAGTGGAAGCAATAGGATATTTGTGGGTATCAGTTGACTTGAAATGATAGAGCATGAGGTTTTTATTTTTTCAATTCACTTGCTAGATCAATGTGCTTGTGGCAGACTTCAAGCCAGTGATAATCGGATAAGTGAAAAAAGGAAGAAACGTGAGGAGCAATTTCCTTGGCAGGTATTTCTAGCAATTCATGAAATCTAACACTCAACCTCATGTGGTCAATGCTATTTACCATCTTTTTGTATTTTCTTAGGTCCTGCTGCTGAACTCAGAAGGGAAGGCCTTCTGTGGAGGAGTTCTGCTAAAAAGTAACTTTGTACTGACTACAGCAGAGTGTGCCCTTCTGCACAGCCATTTGGAAATCAGGGTTGGTGCTGGTAGGTGATCAAACACATTTTCTCAAATGCTGCAGCATTTTAGGCTGGCAAGCTAATTTTTTTTTAAAAGGGCTCACTAATTTTTCTTCTGCATGAAAATACTGTTAGAGGAAATAAACCTGCTGTTTTCTCATTTAAGTATCTCGGTTAAGTATCTTGAGCTAGAACTACAGCTGCTCCATATCCCCCCTACCAGCCAAGCAGAGAGACAACAGCCTCTTGAATGCAATTCAGAACTCAGCACCTAGGGAAACCCATAACCCCCCTACCAGTCAAGCAGAGAGACAACAGCCTCTCGAATGCAATTCAGAACTCAGCACCTAGGGAAAAGCTAAACCAGATGGATTTAGAGGTGGCTTTTGCTTCGTGCCAAAATTCGCTTCTCTTGTCTCTCGTTGGCTCTTTGTCACAGAATCACAGAATGTTAGGAGTTGGAAGGGAGATTATCGACTCCAACCCTCTGTCCTTCCCTCTGAATTACGCACACTTCTGCACAGACTTAAAAAGCAGTTAATATAGCATAGAATCATTAAGGTTGGAAAAGACCTCTAAGGTCACCTAGTCCAACTATCAACTCAACACCACCATGACTGCTAACTATATCCTGAATTGCCACGTTTACACGTTTTTTGAACACTCCAGGGATGGCGACTCCACCACTCCCCTGGGCAGCCTGTTCCAATGCCTCAGCACTCTTCTGGTAAAAAAATTTTTCATAATATCTAACCTAAACCTTCCCTGACACAACTAGAGGTCATTTCCTCTTGTCCTATCCTAGTTTACCTTTACTGCAGCAGTTTCAAGAAAGAGCATCTTCCGTTTCTCTACTGCACACATTTCTCAGCGTGATGAGGCTGTTGTCAGTTTGTGGGCAGTTTAGAGGGCTCTGATAAATTATTCCTAAGAGCAACCAAATGTCATTGTTTCACAGGGCCTAATGGAACAAGTGGAACTGAGAAGACAATGCAAGTTAGTGAGAAACACATACACATTCGGTATGAAGAAGACACTGGTGAGAACAATGTTGCATTACTACAACTCCAAGAGCATGTTGAGTGCAACAACCACCAGCTTCCTCTGTGTACCCCTGAAAGAGACTTTGCAGAACACGTTTTAATTCCCAAAATGGCTGGTACGGTCAGTGGCTGGAGAATGGAAGGGGACAAACTTCAAGGTGACGAGTTGCAGGTTTCGTACCTTCCCGCTGAGGACTGCCAACAAATACTCAACGTAAGCCTCACAAACAGGCAGTTTTGTGGACACCTGCAGGAGGCTGTTGACAAACGACTGGCTGGAGGAAGCTTTTTAGCTACTGAGTATAAGGGCACCTGGTTTCTGACGGGGATCCTGGGATCCTGGCCACCAGAGGACACTGACTGGGAAACACTTCTATTCACTAACACTGCAAGGTATATGATATGGTTTAAACGAAAAATGAAGTAAGACACAAGCACAACCAACCCTCCAGCACCAAATCCTTACCAATCACTGCAAAGAAACATCTGGATGCAGCCAGTACACCCGTTTGACTCTTCATTGTGATTTGTAGCAATGGAAGTTGCAACGATGATGTGTATGTAACTCCAACTCACAGAGAAAAGCCCGTTTGTCTTTCCTTCTGCTGACACACAGGTGTGTCAAAAGTCATGCTGTGAAAGTCACAATGTAGTAAACTCAGCTATTTTCCTAAAAACTGACTGAATTTTAAGTTTCCTAGAACCATTCATCCTAAAACTCAAAAACTATTGATAATCTTCTGGGACTTTAAATGCTGCTAGAAGGATATGAGACTTTTTAATTCTTGTTACCCTGAGGTTTGATTCATCAAATTCATATTCTGCTTTCAACATCCATACAAGTAAAACCCATGAAGACCAGAACTCCAAGCCTTTCAATGTCTATTTTGATGTAGGACTTGACACATCACACTTCTCCTCTTACACGGCACCTGTGTTTCCCCCTTTTGAATCATGTCCACATCAGTTAACAGGTAAAACAGAACCCAACTCTCAAAGAGGGGAAAAAAATGTTTTATTTCCTTTTAAAATAATTTTTAAAACTCCAGACTGCCATCCCATCACTACAGGCAAAGTTATGTTGTACCACACTGAAACAAACAAGGCCCCCAAGGTAGCAGCACTTACAATAATGGATCCGACGGCAATGTTTTCTCTGGAAGCAGAATAAAACACAGTTGGGATAAATTACTTTAAAAAGTTGTTGTTCATCATAACAAAAATTAAACAAAATACTACCAGAATTACAAAACAAACAAACCCATCTGTGGGCACCTACAGACAAAAATCCCAATTTCCCTGAACCCGTAAGCATCACTGACACAGTAAAACTTTTGGTGTCAAGTACTTCTCTAGTTTTTAGAGAAAGCCTAAAGGGAGTATTTAGTATCAGCAAGATTACTGAGAGACTTAAAAAAATGGAAACCATGGAAGAAAATGTTCTTTCCATTCTGAAGAATGGATTAACACAAGTAACAAAGGATGATACTTCTCCTCTCCGAAGACAAGTGCATAAATAGTAACACAAAATACTTTGTAAAAGTTTATAAACAGTTTGGAAGGAATTCGGAATGCGTTGCTTTATTTCCTCAAGAAATACGCTGAATGATCCAGAAAGTCTGCAGAAACTACCATTGAAAAGTCAGCATTTCGTTCCAATACACTTTGTAACACTGGCAGTCTTGGCCGTTCTGGGAAAGGAACCACAAACAGTTCCTGGTATTCTGGTCCTGGACATGAACCAGGTTGTGTACGGTGCTCCCGGGAGGATCGGGGGCAGCTTTACTGGGCAAGCTGAGTATCTCCAAAGTGTTCGTGCGGGTAAGACACAACACTCAACACACTGTTGACAGCGGAGGAAATGGGTTCTGCTTGCTGACCACAAGCTTTTGATGCTGATGGGATATATAGCCTTTGATGTGACCCTGGCAGAAGAAAAAGGCAGCATTAGTGCTGGAAGCTGGTAACACAGTGCCTATAACCTCAGCTGTTTTCAGACCACAGCAAGCAAAGCTACGTGTGGGTACTCAATCACCACTGCACTACCGTACGGAGTGTCTACAAGGATCTAATTTCTGTAAGGGGGTCAACTCACAGAGTAAGCAGAGAGCTGGAACTATGACCATGTTTGTGTCTGCCTGCCGCCAGGGCCCCCCAGGCTCTGCTTCCACTGCCTTGAAGGGATGGAGCTGTACACATTTCTAAATTTTACTCTTGCTCACTTTAAAACGAGGATTTTAATTAACCACTATTCCATACCTGAAAAACTAAATGACAAGTACTTCCTTTTCAGACACAACATTCTAACAATGAAAGATATCTTCCAGTGACCTAATCCCACTCTTACTTCTAGACCTCACCAAATAATCCATTTCAGAAACAGAGAAGTGGTTCATTTTCTTGCTGACAACACAATATTCCTCTAAAACTTCTGATTTATTCAAAATCTCTAGATTTCAAGCCTTTATCTGTTCATGAGTAGTTGAGATCCACTTAGAGCAAAAGACAATGTGAAACAAAACCAAAGAATTCTGGTTTTATCAGTATTTATGCATATATAGAAATGTCAGTACTGAATTTGTAATGTAAAAATTCAGCTTCACTTTTAATTGATTCCTGCAAACAAGGCAGGGACTAGAAACCCTCAGGGCAAATTAGAACATTTCACTTCGGGCACAAGTGAAGTGAACCAACTTTTTTAGACAAGAAAACCTGGGAACACCGATTTGTTTATTTGTAATAAACTTTTATTCTCTACCTACTATTTTTTTAATATCTGGAGGCTGGAAGGGCTAAACAAGGGGTCAGCACGTACCATATATATAAGGTTAGCTAAAATGCACTGGACTTCATCAATATCAACATCATCTACTTGCATGAATTTCAGTGCAAAAAGAAAGGAATCTAGAGAGAGTTGATGGGTTTTGAGTAGTAAATACCTGAAAGAAACAGGAAAAAAGGTGTTATTGAGAAGCAATCACCTAAAAACTCTGGTTCTTAGACAAATGACCTTTCTAAAGTCAATTTCATTTTAACAGGAATTTAGCACTCTCAGAGAGAACTAAGGATCATATACATTTCTAAGTCCTAGGTGAAACCATACTAAATCTGCTTTTGCAAAAAAGTAGGTTTTGTTAAGCTTACACTTTCTTAAAGAGATTTCTGTACGTGATGATTTTCAGCTTCTCAAGGATAAGAAAGATTCCACATCGAATAAAGAAGGTCTCATGCTTTGTCAGAGCCTCATTCAGTAGGAGAAGATTGCCTTCACTACAAGGATGAAGAAATGAAAATGTAAGAAGGTCTCATTCAAATTAAAAAGGAAATTGTCTGACTTGGTAGGAATATCCCTCCCTTGCCTTCCTCAATCATCCCAAATTAACACCTTTTACCTAATTTCTGAACTAACACACAATGCAATAAAACAACCATCATACCTCACGGCCTTTGTTACTTCGGCAAACTGCATAAGGTCATACTTTTTTAAAAGCTGAACTGTTGGCATATGGCCCTGAAAAATAAACAGTTTCCAAATTTTCCAGGGTAAAGTCAAATGCATTTTAAATGTAATCTAGTCAGCTATAAAACATTTGTTAAAGTCAAAGGTTTAATCACTTTTTTTTTTTCCTACAGAACAAGAGGTGAAGAAAAGTATTTGTAAGATGCCACCTTTGCCCCCACCAAACACCTCACACCTCAGCTCATGATAACTACCTACTTATCCTGGTTTAGGGAGTCTCAGTATTTCTTAATGTTGCGGAACAGTTATCCTGTGACGTAAGGCCTACGCAGATCCAAATTTTATGTTGTGGCTGTATGATCTAATCTGCAAACAGAAGAACCATGGGAATCCCAAGCATTACTAATAATACAAGCAGTGCTTCAGCACTGTTAAGTGCTAGCTCAGTCTGTACCAGATTATTTCTTCACTATGCTTCCATCTGGAAATAAAAAAGTCCTCTCAAAAAAAAAAATTTAAATTTGAAGAAACAAAATTAATTCTCACTGCTAGATCAGGTAAGACTTTACTGCCTACACTGCCAAGAAGAAACTTCGGGTTTTTTCTCCCTGCACAGCTGAGATCAGACTGCACATTGACTTGAGTCAGACTTTAAATTCAGTTATCATTGTGCTATGCTGTTGGTAACTCCTCCTGGTTGGAGGCTTAGTTGAGAACAGAATTCAGCTGCATGTTTACTCAGAGCTGCTAGGAATAAAAAAAAGCAAAAAAACCCCAAACAACATATCCAAGATATTTTAGTGCAGTTTAATGTTAGTTTTAATGTTTGGGCTCTGACTAAAAAAAAAAAGCATCTGTAAAACCAATAATCTTTATCTAGTTTCTTTAATGTCTCTTGTATACTAGAACTGCTCCAGAAAAGCCACAGTAATTCTAAGCACTAACAGACCCACCCCAGTCAGGACTGGGACAAAATTTTTAGGAAGACTGTTTTCCTTTATCAAACCTACCACTGATTGATCTGAAAACAACCAGTAAGAAAGTTAATAAATGAAAGATGAAAAACAGAAGCCAATTATCATACTCACTATGCTTCTCTTTTTCCCACTTGACACTGCAAGGGATGGGAAAGAGAGGGCTAAATGGAAAAGGGAGGACGGTCATTAACAGGTTGGGGCAAAGGTGGAAGGTGGCAACTCACAGAACCAGGCAATAACAACATTCTCCATGGGTAACTTTGGTAATAGGACCAGGAACAGTAAATGCTAAAATCGAGTTCTGGTCCCCTCAGTTACACTGAATTAATTTTTAGTATAATCCCGCTAACTCAGGGATACACAAATGCGAGCACAGTAGATAGGAAAGGACAAGAACAAGAAGCAGACATCCACTTAATTTTTTTAACAGAAAGATGAAATGATCAAATAGTAACCAGTCTTCATGGAGTGGTTCAAATCGAGAACGCTCTGCTTCACAACCCTTCTGATACGTCTCAAATGGGTAAATTGCACTCAGAGGTGCAAATGGAAAACCTAAAGATCCTTTCTCTCCTGTGCAAGCACTCTGAACAGTCTTCAGCCATCTGCTTACGTATCCTCCTTCCCCTCATCAGGTGAAAGGAGCGGGCAGACCTGTACTAGTGAATCCACACATGCCCTGGCCCACCTGTGCAGCTGATCGTAAGTTACATTACTAAGTCCTTCTCCAAAGAACTCAAAGTTATCTTTCTGAGGTTGCATCTTTCAGAGAGGAGGGAGGAAGGCAGGGGGAAAAGTGGGTGGGTTTTTTTGTTGGTTAGTTTGGCTTTTCGCCCTCTTTCTCCTTTCCTGTGTTGCTATAAATGACAATGCAACATTTTTTTGGTCCCCACACAACAAAGCGTGCATATGCTGGTCCTTATGGGGGTCAGGCACAAAGAGCTTCTAAATTCCAATAAGGGAAAAACAAGAACAATACTGAGCATTGGTTTAGGTTATCTGCCTCCCCCTAAAATATTTAGAAGAGTAACATCTACTCACCAACAACATTTTTACTGGCAGCAGGTAGATCAAAATCATTCTTTTGTTCTTCTGGCTTGAGCGGTGACAGTGCTCAAAGGCAAATGACAAATACTCTTCAGCTGCAGACACAAATGAAAGTGGCAGTAACATGAGTCAATTACAAAAATGGATTAAAACTGTACCCCAAATTCTATGCTTAATGTCCATCTTTAGCTTGAATACAATGTTTGATACTGTTTAAAATTAATCACATCTACCAAAATACATTATGAAAAATGCTGTAAGAACTATTTAAGAGTCACACAAAACCCAAAGTATTACCAGAAAAATTAAGTCCTCCTTCAGAAAGTCAAAGAAAATTTGTCAAAGTCTAGATGTCAGAGGCAAGTTACAAACAATATTGACATTTTCAGCTCATTTCAGTAATATTATTGCGCTACTATTACATGAGGGGAGAATCTCAAGAAGCGCTTATGAATAAGAACTTTGTTTTCTAAATTTACAGACTAGGCTCTTCAATGGCTGTAAGGCGCATGCAAAGCACATATCTGCTGATCTGTGACAGTAAGATCACGCAGCGTGACATGAAAATCTCTTGTCAGTTTTCACCAAAAGAGAAAAACGACAAGCCTGGCTGTTAGAAGACACTGTTTAGAGTAACAAAACTGGCTCCAGAATAGATTTTGGTTAAGGCCTTCAGTCAGCAATGAAAGTTGTACACCCTAGTTCCAGAAGCACTACTATTAGTGAATCTATTAGAAATCTCAGAAGTATGGGTTATATATCTTGCAAAATAAACACACTGAGAAACTAATTCTATGGTACAGTTTGCTGAAGATTTGCTACATGCCATACTTGAAGAGGATGAGAGAGTTGCAAAGCCTCCTTTGTGAAATCTTTTACAAACCTATTCTTCTGCCTGTTCACACATTTTATTATGCATGCACGTAACGCATAAGACTAGACTGATCTTCATTTGACACAAGTATTTTAAAACCAGGCATATATAATTAGAAGTGTCATGTAATCTCATCTCTGATCCGACTCAGCCCACAGGCCCTGGATCTTTCATCATGACTTTTCCCTTGACTGACGGAAATACAACTGCACGTTCCACACACGCTTCCCAGTCACACACGCGTGACAGCAGATTTCACACCAAGCAGCAAGACTTTACATCTCTCCTACTGGCACACAGTACCTTGCTTGAAGTCACTGTCAAACATGGCTTTGCGTCCAACATAGTACCTGTACGTAACTCGCTGCGCCATGCTATACTCATCTTTCAAATTTGAGCTGTCAATTGCTCTAATTAAAGGTTTACATAGATGGAGCTTGTTGATCTGTTAAAAAAAAAAGGATCAGTTGCATTTCAGTAAGAGAATGCAGATACATAGTATCATACAAAAAAATGGGTGGGTTTGGCTTAGAACATGAAATACAAAACACAGCGCATCAGACTTGAACCCTACCTTAAAATAAATTTTAAACAGTTGATTCACAAGAAACAACATGCCCCACTTCTTGGAATCTTCAATGCCTGCTCGGCTGTCATAGGAAAAGAAGAAAGAAATAAAAATCTACTAGTAATGAACACTGTAACTAAATTATGACTTTATCTCTATGATAAATTCCCTCCATGGGTATTTTATGGATTTTTAGAGTAAAAACAGATGTCTGAAAATACAAGTCCAAGGCCAAATTCCTTGTCTTAAACCACACCAATACTGTCAATATGTGTTCCCATCTTAAACAGCTTTGTTGCATTTCTTCTCAATATAGTGAAAAGATGTCATGCGACATATTATTCATCTGCATCAGGGTCCTCACTCCAGTGTGCAAGTAACACAGACACAGCAGTTGCTTAAAATATTCAAGGTGAAACAAAAGTATTGGAAAAAAAAAAGCAGCACTTTCTCCACTTTGAATGCATTAGAACTACTAAGACTGGAAACCAAAGTGTCACCTGTGTTTCATCTCATCATAATGAAGCAAACTTGTCAACTGAACAGGGCACAACAGGGACATAATCGGTCCCTCGCAACATCTGCTGGGAATGTTGAACTTGAAGTAAGGCCTCTCCAGCTGTTGTTAAGTCAAGGTAGAACAGACTGGACATGAGAGGAAAGGAGCCTCAGGAGTGTTCACTCTTAACCAGAGATGTCTTAGTAAGTAGGAAAATCTTACATATTAAATTCTTAACAATTTAACAGTGTAAGTTCTACAGAGGACCTTTCACTTACGTGTCACTGGCACAGACTCGAAAACAGCTCATCAGCAGTTCTGCTGCTTTTTCCAGCATGTCGCCAACTTTGCTTTTCCCTTTCTTCACTAGTTGTTGATCTGCCTATCATTACACAACAAGAAACAATGCGTCATTCTACACCCTGGTTCACTAAGTTGTAAGCAGTTTACTTCCTTAATACAGCATTTTATAAAATAGTATAGCCAATAGTATTGCCAAGAGTCTGGCAAAAAACTTGTCTTTTGAACAAAAGCCAATTAAAATGAATCCCAAGTTTGAGGCTTAGGATTTATAACCAAGCTTATTTCCACAGCCACGAAGGACAGATAAATAAAGTCTTAAGGGAGATATCTTAAGAGATAAATAAAATAAAAAAAAAAAAAATCTAAACCATATTCAACCTTTTCTGGTAGCAGCACACACTGGGACTTTCATAACAAATGGAAAACCTACATTACGTATATAACATATATTACAGAAGCAAGAGAAAAATACGAGTTGCCAACACATGGGAAAGATCCATGCATTGATCAATGCAGAAGTTAATAAAGAAGGGGGGGAAGTAGTGAGTAGATATTTACTACGCTCTTTCTAACAAGTTTCATTATAATGCTTGCATTCTCACTAGCTGAAACGTAAGGAAAAGAAATGGAAATGCACCCTTTCTTAGCTGCTGAAGTCTTTCCGTATTTCCATCCTTTGACCATACTAAGGTTAGAAGACAGAGTTCAAACACTTCCAAGGTGACTGATCCCACTTGTCCCTTTCTCACATATCTTGGATATATGAATTTGCCTTGTTCAGACTGAGAATCAAGACTTGCTACAGAGCAGGGACATGCACAAAAAAATACTCTTTGCAAGTTTGTCAAATGTATTGTTCTGTGGGTGTGTGGGCACAAGAAAGTGCTGAGGGGACAAACACTGAAAATACTGCATAGTGTCAAACTCTAACCTAACTTGCACTCTAAATTCACCTCTTCAGGTAGAGCAACTAGGAGCAAGACCAAGAGAGCCCTACACAAGCCACCTCATTAGCCTGAGAAAAATCATATAAATGTGGGTTAGTTTAGCTTGTCAGCAGTTGTACGGACTCAGGAAGAGCCTCAATGCGCAGCAGAAAGAGTACACACAGCTGGAAGAGGGGAAAGAAGGCAGAAACTTCCCTCTTGAGATGTGGTGAGTGGTTAGTTTAGCTCAGTTGCCTGGAGTATCTCTACCAAATCCCCAGGATTACACACAGAAATAGGGAGTTGTGCCACCACACTACTTTATAAAGACAGCACTTATCACTTTGTACGCTCTAAGTGACTACTGAGAGTTGCATGCAGGCCCTCAGAACATCTCTAGTTTCCACCATTGAAATTCCTAACAGATAAAAGTAATGAGGCTGTTAATCAGATCTACTTACATTATTAGCAAAAATTCGAAGATCAAGGGCCACAGCATACATAATAGGTAAAGCCCTGGAAAAGTAAACTATCTTATACTTTGTATGTGCAAATCATGCAATAAATGAAACAAGCATTTTTATTTTTTTTGCTCGTTGGCCATAAAACTAGAAAAGTACACATTGATCTTTGAATAACAAAGGATGCACTTTTACAAAAGCAATGTCTTCAAGATCTCAGCATTTCAGAAATCCTACACTGGAGGAAGAATTAATTTCAAAACCTTTTTTACTGTGGTTTTAATTAAATACCATCTCACCTTGAGCAAATTCCTTACATGTTTACTTATGGACCATTCTACATAACCAAGCTCAGATGTTTAGTTTTCACACTCGGACTCAAAAAACACTCAAACAGGCAGCAAAACCAATTAGACAGCCTTTAATTATTGCTGAGGATAAATAAAACTATAGGCATGATTTCAATTTGACTATTACTGTATTATACTGGGGAAACATGAGAGTAGTTTCCAGCAGCTCTCTCTGATGTACTCACCAGTTTTCTTCTTTATGTGCCTGAAATGCTCGCAAGAAAGATGTATTGTGTTTAGGAGAATTTAAAATGTTATGAAATGAAGAACAGATCTAAAAAAGCAGCAGTTGAATGGTACCTTATATTACTACATGGAAGGGTAGAAACCAAACAAAAGCAGCAAGTAGATGAGGAGTCGGGATGCAAAGACACAGCAGGGAAGAAGAGGAGCACAGCCACGTGCTCCTTGGTGTGGCAGCAGCAGCAAGAAGCACTGGCCACTTTGAGATAAGATAGCAACTTTCTTTATCAGTATCCTCCCTTCTAGCCAAGAACAAACTGGGCAGTGTATTAACGATCCTATACTGTGTGAGAAATTAATTTTCTATTTTAGAGCCAAGTAACAGATCCTTTCTTAGTCTACCGAAAATTGAAAGGAGCAGAGTGTATCCGAATGTCCTTGCTCAAGAACCTAAACAGCTGAAGTGTATTTGGAAGCAGACCACATTCTATCAGATTTTAAATGGGGCAGAGATAACTTACTACACAAGGAGACATATAGCCAGTCTGAAAGCAATACATGAGATATATGGAAAAGGATATTGGACAATAACTGTTTGGCATTTGTATGCTTCTATAAAGTCATGGTTTCCAACAGCGTAAGTACACCTGTCAAAGAGAAGTGGTTTAGTGCATCAGAAAATATCATATATGCAAGGCAAATATTTATTTTTAACTTTTAATGTGCATAGAGCTTTACAGTTCATTTAAGAGAGACACAAATATGATTAGAAATGTTCCTAACAAAACAGCTCGAGTATTTCAACATGGAATTAAGCCTGATAATTGTGGAAAACTGATCCAAGAGACGAATATGGGTTTGTTTCTGTAATGTACAGTATCAACTGTCATATGCCAATGCTTATTGAAACTGCCACCAAGATCAGCATAGACACAAAAAAAATTTCAAGACTGCTGAAACTGAACTAAATGCAGTTAATGCAGACTTTTTTAAATAAAAGCCTCACAGAATTACTTAGGTCTTAAAGTTGTCTTAAGAGTACTTCTATGACTAAAATTCTCTTTGAAAAATATTTATTTCTCTTACTTATTTCACTCTAAATTCTTGTGTAGCTAGTAAGTGCAGAGCAAAGTCTGCCAGGTACATAAAGCAAATTTTACATGGAGAGGAGAGAGGTCTTTATTTCCTGCAGTTCTAGCATTATTTTTAAGAGTAATAAATACCAAGTTTCCAGTGGTAAGCCTTTTAAAATAACCAAGTGAAGTTAAGGATATCTGTCCCCATCCCTGCTGGATGCCTCACAACTGACTTTACATTCCTGGTCAATCTTTACCTTAAGTGGGCTGCAAACATTTCATCATATGGTGGTTCCAAAACCTGTTGACACTTTTCCTCCGGAGATGGCAACTAAGTACAGAACAAATCAATGGAATGTTGAAGGATCGTCCAGTGCACCAGAAACAGAACATCACACGGATACTTTGCCATGGCAGTTTTATGCACACATGCCTTTGCTCACTATCAGAACCTGAATTTATATTAATAATCACATCCGGTGTAATGAATTGCTAAGCATGCATTCTGCTTTCAGAATCTGATTAGAGCTAGCCTTAAATAAAAGCATTGACAGTCTGCTCGCTAGTGGGGTGGTGTGAGAAACTGAAAAGTCCTTGACTTACTGTAAACACTGCTTAGCCACAACTGGTACATCAGTGTGTTATCAACGTTATTCTCAAGTCAAATCCAATACACAGCACCGTACCAGCTACTAGGAAATAAATTAACTCTATCCCAGCCTAAATACAGCACGAACACTGGACCTTTATACCCTCTGGTTTTCGCTTTATAGTCACTTCCACTGTGCCATGTTACTAATTAACATGGCCTGATAATAACAATGGCCTAATAAACAATGGCCTGAAGGGACTTTCAAGATTGTATCTATCCAGAAAACAATTCAAATCAGAACACGGTAAGCCATCCAGAGGGAAAAAAATAAAAATTTCCTTGTAAGAAGAGAAACAAACCTACAAGAGTACACTGCCTGTGCAACAGATTTCTGAGGTTTATCGCCAAAGGAAAAGAACCCACATAGAGAGCAAGGAAAACTGAAAACAAAAGAAAAGAAAGGTCTAAAACCAGATTCTCACCTGTAGCCTTGGGTTTGCAACATGTGGATGTTTAAATGACACCAACTCTGCACAAAATTGTCCATCTCTGCTGTCAATGGCTTCCTGTACCTACCAAAGAAAACAGCCACGTTACAGAATAAAATGGAGCCACAGTCATGCAACTACATGACTACAGAAGTTACCTTCTTGTTACCACTGCTCATGCACATCAATACCAACTCAAATGTGAGTTCTTAAAGATTTAAAACTGAATGAATCAATATTGTACTTTCAGTACACCTGCTTTACAAAAAGATATCATGGAGATGGTTCAATACTACTGTGTATTTCTCATTATTTGAAGGATATGAGCAAACCAAAGAATCCCCAAACAACTTACATGGGTTTAGCATTGTAAAACAGCAGTTGTGAGCCATATTTAATTAAGCTTTTTAAAATTCCAGTTGGACTCAGAGGCACCAAACGTATATGTGAAAGCATAAACAATCTCTGAGTAATGCTTAAAAGTGAAGACAGGTAGACGAAACATGTCGCTGTCACTCCAAAGGCAGTGCCCGATATTTGATGAGCATCTGTATAACATAGTTTTGAAAGCTGTCAAGACTGTAAATCTCACATTCTGTAGAAGAATGGTTTAATTCTGCTTCCTGCTAAAGATAACTCGTAAAAAATAGACTGTCTCAGCAACTTATTATGACATCAAGCTGGAAATGTCTTCAGCTGTGGAAGTAGTTTTAGATACTAAGAGTTCCTTTCCCACTGCTTGTGCTTTATTTGTCATATTTCTGTGTCCTGACACAAAAAAAAACCCCAAAATGTTTAGCTATATGGAAAACTCGCATCAAATGGGAAAAATTAAGAGAATAACAGAGCAAGGGAAGCTGCAAAAGCGGCAAATGCAACTGCTTAAACTCTTTCAGAGACTGGTAGTATTTTTTCAAGTAAAGGAGAGCTAATTTTGTGTTTTGTATTTTTTTCTTATTAAACATTGAATGGATCATTAACGGGACAAGATGCTGACTTTTCAGAGCAGATCACTGTCCTGAGAGATCTCGGCCACTCTATTTTTGAGACTAAAAGCCAATCATTCTCCTTTTGCGCCCTTTACTCAATTGGCTAATCTTGACTGAAGCAAGTAAGATAACAATGATGAAAATACAATGGTTCAGGAAAAAGCAGTAAGAGCTGGCCACACTAAACACCTGACACTGTCTCTCCGTCCTCTGTGCTACACGCACCATGTCTCTGCAAATTTTCGCTTCTTAAATCACTCTATTTCTCGAACCTCCGAGCTGCATTTGTTTCTGCATACACACACAACCCAACCACACCAGTTCTTGTGTATAAATTGTTTCAGTATCCATTATATCACTAGCCATCAGACTTTTCAGAAATTCCAGGTATACACCTTTAGCACAGACAGTATATTTGATACAGATTTACGAAGTATGTATCTTTACCACATTACATGTTCTAGGTTGATTTATTCTTTAAACAAGGTTGCCATATTTACAGTAAAGAAAAATACATCCATGTACTCTAACGGTGCCACAAATAACAATAAAAAAACTTGCTTACTTGCTGCAAATACTGATTTATGGTGATGTGCGCCATTTAAAACCTAAGCAGAAGCAGCAGGCGTCCCAGATAAAGCGCGACTGTATCATATCCTGCAAAATGAACAGCAGTTTAAGAGAACGGCAAAAGTGGCCGCACCTCGCCCGGATCTCCGCTTCGCTCCGAGGAAACGCGGGACTTAAAAAAAATGGGGGGCAGCGGCTGCCAACCTACGGGAACGGGAACGCAGCCGCGGGGAGAAGCGGAGCCGAGCAGGGTAACGCAAAGAGGAGAAACTGCGTGAGGAGAACAAACCCAGCACGAAGGCCCGCGCCGGGAGCCGAC